TGTTGCGGGTGGGGGGCAAATCTTAGAATGAGTTCCAGCATTTTTAATCCAGTGTGTGTGCGTTGAACTTCTGTTCTCTTACAGGTATGTTTTGATTTCCGGTCACTTATATCGGTAAAAGTGTAATGTTTGTACCTGGCCTGAGCTGGGCTGTAACTGGCCCCTTTTGATCACCAGCTTTGCTTGGAGAGACATGCCTTTGAAAAAAACGGAGACTTGGAGAGATGGCACTTCATCAGTGTGCTGATGAAGGTGATATGGAGTTCTTAACTTTTGTTTTTTCTCATTTAATATTTGGTTTCAAGCCCTTAGTCTTAACATCATAACTTGTTTTCATATGAGAAGTATTTCCTTTTTGTTCTAGTCCTTGTTATGTAACAGTGCTTACTAGAATTCTTAATCTTCCAGTCCTTTAAGGTTTGTTTAGGCTAGTGTTTGTGGTCTTGCTTTATATTTAACTAATTGCTAATTAACTCGGGGTAACTAACTCATTCATTTGTAAATGCTAGCCTTGTTATACTCCCCAGATATTTTGATCCAGGACCAAACACTGGCATGCTTACTCAGAGCCCTTTGTTTTCTGCACTTTTGTGAACATAGAACAAGCAACCCTGGAGTGCTGTGTTTTGGCCCCAGCATCTGTGATTTCGCTCCATCTATGATTCAGGCACCCCGGTCAGTACCAGGCTGCATCTTTTTTTGGTCAGTGTTGTTCACAAAGGGAATGTGCTACACAATGTGTCGTCTTCTGCTGCTCAGAAAAGGTAGGGTCAGAAACAGGATTCTTGGGTTCATCCATTGCCACACTCCCACAGGAGTTATGTAGCATTTCTGTATGGCTTTATAAACAGCTAGTCTTCTTTGGAATAACTGTTAATTTACCCAAGAGTTTTAGTAAAGCTGTTTCTGCACCTCCCAAGGGTACTCAGAAATGTATTATAAAAATCAGCGAGTTAATCTAATTAATATTGCTGTGTAATTTGGATGCAGTGTGCTGAGCAATACACAGAATTCTGCATTGAACTACTGTATTACCAGCTACAGAATCCAGATTCTAAAGTACAGACAATTTTACAGCTCTGATTATGACTGATGGAAGATCTGTTTCCAGATTATCTATATGCGTTTCACTAGCTTCTAGTCCAGTTTACTGGAATCAATAGTGCCACTGTTAGAATCAGATTGTCAACTTGAAAAGCAGTTTTTGTCTTATAATTTTTGTCCATATTATGGTTTTCAGTTAAATCTTAGTTGCTAAGACTGGGAGAAATCGGCAGCAAAACAGTTTTGTTTTTTATTTGTTTGTCAGTGCTTCCTAAGTAGCTTTATTGTTTTAGCTGAAATAGGTATCACTGAAATGGGGGTGAGGGGACTTTAGTTAAGTATAACACTGAGGAAAATAGCATTCTATTTTAAAACAACCATTTAGAAAATAATAATTTTCTAAAAATTATGAGACTGGCAATGAAGCAGTAGCAAACATCCGATTGATATCTTAATTAGATTTTGTCCAAAGGTGCTGGCAAGCTTTCCTAAGAGTTTGTTGCAAGTGTTAGAGCGCAAACAAGTAAAATAAGATTTTTAGTGTGTTTTCTGTTATGACTCATGCTTTAGGCAGTGTCACTCTCCCAGGTGCTAGTTGTGCATTATTATTTCCAAATGCCCTTTTGAAATACACTGGGGGGTTGCTGTTTTCAGGGGGTGTATGCATTACTTATCAGTAATTTGCAGCAGCGTCTTGATAGTATGAAATTATCATAAACATGTTTAAATAGTATGAGGAGCCTCTGTGTACAATGACTTCTTAAAGCAAATTCAGTTTTTGTAAGGTACAGATTGCTCTTAAATCATAACCTGAAATCTGCCTCTCTCGATTCTCATCCCCTCCACTGCCACCAGGTGTGTGCTTCAGCCATCTCCTGGAAGACTGCTTGCTTCCAAGACTGAAAGGCGGGTTTCTCCGTAATGCAGCAGTTCTTTGATCTCTTAAGGTTGACAGTGGGGCGCATATATGGTGATACATTGATGCATGTGACATAGAAATGTCACAAAATGAGGGTTAGACTGTAAAGGCTTGTACAGGCAGGATCAGATTCTAGTTGATAGCCCAGCAGTAGAAAGCTTTATTTCTTGCAAGTCCTCTGATTCACCTGCTTTTTCACTGGTAATTTTTGTGCCTCTTCAGTTTTTAAAATTCCCCCTTCTAACAATATAGAGAAGAAATCCTGATGTGAGACACAGCTTTGCATAAAGTTAGAGAGGAATTGGAACATTTATAAATGTGTATCATCGATCACCAAAAGTGTCATCAAAAATAACATTTATGATGAAGCTTACGGGAATAGTAATTGAGGGTTAGTTATTATAGCTGTTTGCTTTGAATTGCAGATCTGACATGATAGTCTCTTACAAGCTTTGCCTGCTAGCAGAGAGTTATTAAAATAAAGAGGTGTTTTAGGCTTACTCAATATCATGCTGAGAGACAGAATGAGGCACCTCTAGTCATATCATTGTAACGCACTAATTGCCCTTTTCTTTTGTGCATCACAATTAGAGTTTGCAGAGTTACACAAGTACTCTTTCAAATAAGGCCACAGATTCTGAACCTGTATTATGCTTGCTCAAAATGGCAGCTGTGATACTATGAATACATTGTTACATTGATAGTATGTTTTTTATAATTAATTTTCATAAGTGATTTACAAATTCTGCATTCTGTTTATGGTATAAAATGCATGCCTTAATACAACAGAGTTAATACTAATCCATGTATACAACACAGGTTGTTCAGTATGGAAAGCAATTAGGCTCAAAATCACATGTTAAATACTGGGGCTGATTTTTTTTAAAGGAACTTCTAGTGGGAAGCTTGTGTTTCAGCTGAGATTGAGCAGTGACTAAAGAGAAGTCTTTTATTTTCTAGTTCTCTTTTGTTAGCACAGTGATTTAATACTGTGTTGCAAGCAGTCCAAGACCGTGTTTAAATCCTAATAGTTTTACTGAGATAGAAGAAAATAATTATTAAAATAATTACTTTGAATGTTGAGTCTAATTAAACTGTTGTTTTTGTTTTTTGAACAAAGCCTACATTTTGGCTCAAAATTGTGAAGTTGTTCCCTGACTGTTAGTTTTAGTTTTTTGGCTATGGTCTGGCAAATTTTCCAAGGTCCATGCAAGGGGATGGTTGTACGAGCACACAGGAGAAATTGAGGGACCAAGTGAAAAAAGGAAAAATATAGTATGATATTTGGAAGGTAGAGCATTCCATTTGAGAAAAAGAGAAGTGAATTCAGGAAATGCTATGTATTGGAGAACAGAATAGAATGGAATGAAGGTAGGAAGGGAAGAGAGGAGAACAAGAATGAGAGGGAAAGTTACATTACAAACAGGCAGACACAATTAAAACACACTTCAGATGGACTAAGGAGGCACATGCCAGCCTTCAGCTGAGATTTGGAACCCTGCAGCTCTTTGCTGTATTGGGGGGACTTTAGGGCTCACTGTGTATATAAGAAGGCACAGACTGTGTTTGTCCATGTGAAATATTAATATTCTGTTGGGATTTTTAAGAGTTTGAGAGAAGAATAGAACAAATCTCTTAACAAAAGAAATATTTTTTTTTTTTTACTGTGTCATATCTTTGCAAAGTTCTATCTTCCTTAGACTTTTTTTCCCTTGGCATTTAAAAATTGCCTTTTGGATTGAGGTGAAGAATCAGAGATTTTAACTCAAAGACTTTTTAATATGTGAAAAGGTGTGAACCAAGGACTGGAGATTGAATAGTTCCTGCAAAACTGACCCAGTTCTTATCAATTTAACTGCTTTCCATACTGTTCTGAATGTCAGCAATGAAAACTGAGGAGACAAGTCAGTTTTGCTTCCACTGCAGCTTGGAAAACTCTGAGCAGTAGTAGCAGTCTTAGAGCTGCCTGCAGACTTAGGAAAAAACTCACCATTACTTACAATCAATGCATATTTAGGAGCTACTCTTCCTAATCCTATAGACCAGAAAGCTGAATTTTTTTTTAAAAGATTACCTTTTGCAGAAGCTCATGACTTTTATCACAGACTAGTGGATGAATAGATTGTTTTCAAGTCCCACTGTGGCAGGCCCATGCCCACAGCACCACTACTAGCATGTCCTACCCACCTGGGCACTACCTTGGGGCCTACGTGCCTGGAGGTGTCGTTCAGTGTTTCTTTTCTTTGACCCCGAGGTCTCTGCCAGTATGTCTTCTATGAGGCTCCTCCTCCCCTGTACCTCACCTCTTTCCAGTCGGGTGGTCTGCTTCAGGTGGTCCCTCTGGAACCAGACGTTGGTGCCATTCATTTCCACAGGAACTCCTGCCCACACAGCAGTATGACCAGGCTCCCCTGCCTTAACGAGTGTACAACTTAACTATACTGAACACAAGATGCCCTGACAGTGCGGGTGAGCAGGGCACCGATGCTACCTGCCTCTAATCACTTCAATTCCATGCTCTAGGCCAGGGGTGGGCAAAATGTGGCCCGGGGGCCGGGTGTGGCCTGCTGGGTGATTCTATCTGGCCCACGGGGCCCCTAAAAAATTTGGAAAAATAATATTTATCTGCCCCTGGCTGCCTATCATGCGGCCCTCGATGGCTTGCCAAAACTCAGTAAGCAGCCCTCTTCCCAAAATAATTGCCCGCCCCGCTCTAGGCTCAGCAGACGGCGTTTTCCTGGCTCCCACACTTCCCCAGGTGCAGGCCGGCATTGCCCTTGCAGGAATTTCTGACTGGGCTCACTCGTACATGATGCACAGGGCCCTGTGGGCACCCGATGAGCACCCTCTCTTGTGGGTCCCACAAGTCCTTCTCAGACAGCCTGCTTCCCGTCCTGACTGCCCTCAGAGTACCTGTTGGTGTTGTGGTGAGCATGCGGCTGCTTGAACAGGCACATGTCCCTCGCCTCGCCTCGCCTCGCCTCGCCTCGCCTCGCCTCGCCACTGGTGGCTCCTGCACTGATACCAGCTCTCTTTCCCACAGGTTTCCGGCCATCTGCGGTGGCTTCTGGTTCGGCAGGGGCTCCTGCCTTAGGAAGGGCCCCTGGCTCTACTGCCATGGGTAAGCATGTTCCCAGGCCGCCTCCCCCCCGGGCTGGGCTCTGGCAGCGATATCCAGTGGGCAGCTCCTGCAGGGTCTTGCTGGTTCTGCTCCAGGTACGGGGAGGGTCTCAGGCAGCATTTCCCGTGCTCCCTCTCTCTCCCTCCCCCAAGCCACAACTAAGGAGCTCTTTTTATCCTGAGAGCCCTCCAGGGCTGGGCCGCTCTGCAGGCCCCCCCGCCACGTGGTGCCAGCCAGTTTCCCCACTAACTGGCCACCTGGCGGTGCGTCTACTGTGAGCCTGCCACACCCGCTGTATTTGTTCAGAATAAACTGCTCCTGGAAGGATCACAGTCTCTCTTCTTTCCTAGATAGAGGACTGAGTTGTGTAGCATATCCTTGGATGAAAAAGGAATTAACATATTTTATGTTAAATGGATGCTTTGAATCTAAGTTGTCTGTAAACATCTGTTTTAGGCAGCTCTCAGACTACTAGATTTGGAAGAGAGAGACTAAACCAACTCTTTTTCTGTATTTTAGTTTACATTTGACACCTCTTTTCACATTGCATTTTTTTGTCTCGCATACAGCAGTGAAAAACATACATTTTAAAAATAGGAATAAGTGCTAAACTGCGAAAACAGGCAGAGCAGCTTGTAGGCAGGCATCGTGCTTCTTTGTTGAAGGTCCCTAAGATTTCAAGTTGGCTAGACATGGTCAAAACTCAGAATTTTCATTCTGCAAGAAAATCTAGTATTTCACAATTCCTTTTGTTCCTGGATTGGATGAAATAATCAAAATGTTGTAATTGTGAAGCAAAAATGTTGGAAATTTTACTCTGAGAATATTAAAACTATTCATTCAAACTAGTCAATAAGGATGACAGTTAAAAGTTGGTCATTCCAGGCATCTTTCAATAAAATTGATATCTTATTGATATTTTCTATCAGAAGACAAAAACTAGATGGAAAAATTTACGGTGAAATACAGTTCTCACCATTTTTTAAGACTGCAGCCTTTTTAAGCACTTGAGAGGTCAAAATCCAGTATTTTCACTGCTATTAACATGAAAATACTGTCCCAGTCACTCAGGCTCAAGCTGGAGGCTGAACAAACTAGCAGGTAAACATTGTACTTCTCAACCACGTGGTGGCACGGAGAAGAAACGGGGGAAGTGTGCCAGCACGAGACGGCTAGTGCCAGTGTGGGTGTTGTCGTCGGCCTCTGCTTGCTTGCATCTCTTAGTGCTTGTTTGCATCTCTTGCATGCTTGTGTCTTTTAGTGGGTTGTAGTAATTTAACAACTTTTAAATTCCTCTTATCCAGAACCTATTATCCCAGGTTATCCTAGACTGCTGCAGAATAGCAGCAAGGAGACCCTTGTGAGTCTCCCTTGTGATCTAGGAAGGCTGTTTTTGAATGTCTCTTTTAGGAATTGCCCAGAAATGCTTGAATATAAGCAGGCATTGAATGAATCAAATAATGAGGGTGCAGGTGATATGGTGATTTTATTTATTTACTGTGCTTTGCCTCTGTCTCATGCAAGTTTCTGCCTGTGCGCGAGATTGTTTAAATATGGAAGACATGGCCATATTTTACTTTCTGAAAAAGTAGCAGTTACACAACTGGTCTGACACGGTAAATGCCTGTGTTTGAGTAGAGGCAAAGATTTCTTAGGGTGATAGGATACAGGTGTTCTTGCTCTTCATGGAAGAAGATCCTTCCTTTTTATTTAGTTTAAGAAAAACAGAAGTTGTCTGAATGTTAAAAAGAGGGCTGATAGACATCTTGTTCCTACAGGGTCTCAATGCCAGGAGAGAGAGAAAAGGTGATATAAAACATAATATCTGAGTACTTAAGTAATCTTATGAAAATAAAATTAACTGTGAAATTGTTCCTATAGTATTAGGTTTTCTGGGGTTAGTAATATGTGCTCGCACTAAAGAGGCTGTTGTTGCTACCATGAATTGGTTTATAAGATTCTGCTGTAAGGGGGGTGGGGAGGGAGTTAAAGACTGGAAAAAAGGTAAATCGGATGACTTGACAACCATGATTTAAAAAATCTCCAAGAATAAAAGTTTCTTAAGTTCTTCTGTGTTGTTTAGTGCAAGTTGATCATTTTATTATAATTGATTCATTGAAATATTGATCCTTCAGGAACTTGACCTTGTTTTTAAAGGTTCTATGACTTGATGCTAGGTCTGTCTTTATTGACTCAAGGTGTTTGACGTTGCAGCTCCAGGTCGCTTGCTAACTTTTCTATTTCTTCAAAACACTTGGCTACGTTAAAAATATCTGTGTCCACCAATATAGTAGCTGACTCCTTGGAAGTCTTTTCATCCATCTGTATAATAATGGTATAAATTCCGTACAGTGTGTATGTTACCTGTTTGGTATGGTGATAGCTTGCATAATGTTGTATTCCTGCTAGCTGCAAAAAGTCTTTTACCGTCATATTTCTTTCTTCCTCTTTTGTCAAACCAATGTGAAGAAAGTGTGCCAGATATGTAATTATCTCTCTTTCTGTTACTAGTTCAGCATAAGTTGAAGTGCGTTCCATATGAATGCCTCTGTTGGTTGCTTTGTTGGAATGAAAATGCAGCTCATCTCGCTTGCTAATGTTTGCTGATGCTGTCAGTCCGTTCTCTGGGAGCTCTTTGGTGAGGCTGTGGGTGTGGAGCTTGACACGGCTGGCATCTGTTTTATCCAGGTGCAGAGTATTCCACATCTTGGGAGATAATTCAGTGGTAGATGCATTGCCCCTTGTTTCTTGCTTCTGAGAAGCCACTATAAGATGCCACTGTTGATTTTTTTGACTAAGCCAGATTTGAGTCATAGCGAGCTCATGTAAAGCAGTGTCATAGTAGTGCTCTTGCTCAGTAACCTTATCCAGGCATATTGCCTGAAGCTGCAGCAGCTTGGTTTTACTTGTGTCCTTTAGCCAGTATTTCTGTTGGAGCTGGACCTTATGGGCTTTGGGTTCATTCTTTGTTGCTGCCATCTCCCTGTTAGAGGAAATTTTTTATTTAAAATAAGTAACTTGTTTACTAATTTTCCTTAAGAGTAATCTTTATAGCTGGTAATGGGAAGCCTCAGAAAGTGGTTATATTTTTGTCTAGCCCACTCCAACTCCCATACTGTCTTGTCTAGAAAGAAGAATTAAAGTAATCTGTCCCTTTCAGTGCTGAGCTCTACATTGTCTGCCCCAGCTAAGGCATGGTACCTGTACACCCAAGGTCCTGCGTCACTTTAATGTGATTTTTTTTCCATCTTGAGAGGTAGGACATCAGCTCTTCAAAATACAGAGTTGAGCTTTAGTTGTCTCTGAGAGAAGTCCAGCTCTATCCAAGAAGCAAGCATGTGAGGAGCACTCACTGTGGTTTTTGGGGAAGATGATAATTCTCTACATCACAAGCAGCTCTGAGAATAAACTCATGACTATTCATCAAGTGCTCAGATGCCACAGCAGTGAATGCCACAAAAAGGTTATGCTTGTAACAGTGCCTGCACAGAATAGAAGCTCGACTTCATGTACTAGACTGGTCCACAGCCCTTAAGAAGTGATCGTTTCCTGTAACTTGGGTCAAAGTGCAGGGAAAGACTGTACATTTTCTGTTCCCTACAGTACTGTTCTGTAGTTACAGCAGAGGAGTTTGGAAATACTCTATACCAGTGGTCACCGGCCAGTCGATTGTGGAGCCTCTGACAGTCCATCTCAGAGGTCTGTCAGAGGCTCCACAATTGGGAGCAGCAGGAAGCACATGGCTGAGCTGAGCTGAGCTGAGCCGAGCCGAGCCGGCCGCCCGGACTGGGCTGGGTGAGTGGGGTCAGTGCCCAGGCAGCTTGTCCAGGAGGCGGAGGGTGGGGCAGGGCAAAGATTGGGGGCGGGGGGGGAGATGCTGTAGATCCTGTGGTGCCAAAAAGAGATCTTCATCATAAAAAGGTTGGAGACCACTGCTCTGTGCTTTCCTGGAAGGTCTTGCTCTTCTCTTACACTAATGCATTTTTGGTCAAACCTAATCTTTTTCCAGTATTTTTGTAACCAATAGCTAACTGTACAACATACATAACTTCTGGCTGCAATATGAAATCATTATAAAAATATTTTAAGTGGAACATACTCAAGTAAATCATAGTTAAACTTCCTCATTTTATCTCTTCCATTGACCAATGATGGGTATGCATTTACTTTGGTTATTTTCATTCTGCTGATCTATAACAAGCCATATAAGTTCACATTTACCTTCTTTTTAGATGGATGGATCTGTTTCTGTATGCTCCAAGAAAATGACTTGATAGAAAAGGATCCTTCTCATTATCTTAATTCAGTAATTTTCATAGAATAAACCCCAGGTATTTGAAACTTTCCTTTGACTTCTCTAGCACTGTAACGAACGTTCAGGTTTCCCTTCCTTTAAAGCAGTGTTCACCGATTTCTCTCAGTCTGTTTAGTTACAACTTGGAGCTACTATGGCAACTGTGCATGTGGTAGAAGTGTGTAGGTATTTGCTGTTTATGGATACCTCTGGTTAGCTTGGAGTTGCCTAATTGGGCTATTTGTGTGTGCAAAACCATTGGGTAGAACCAGTTTTAAAGTTCCTTAGAGCAGGCATTGAAGTTTTCCCTGATAAGCTAGATATGCTGATTCATGTTTTGCAACCCTAATGCAATTTCACTCAATGGACTATTGTATTTGAAGTATTGCGAGAGGGAAAAGATTCTGCTGAAAGAAAAGCAATTTAGCTAAGATGTGGATACAAAATGCTGCCATCCAGGAACAAACTCACTTGCTCATAAGCTAGCATTTTGGTTTTGTACTGTAATCAGAGAAGATAAAAGGTTACAATGACATATGCTGCAGTCCCTTCAAACTACATTTTTCTTCTTTGAGTGGTGTTTAACATGGATGTCAATTATGTGGATAACTTGGGAAAAACCCCAAGTAAACCTGGTGATCCTAAATTCTGTGCCCAGCTACACAGGTGGTGGTGGCAGCCTTTGTTTTTAGTAATGGGTCTCTGAATGAGCCTCTGAAACCACAAAAAAAAGTGCAAAACGGTTTCCCAGTATGGGGCTGCACTTGGGGTGGACCGCAGCAATGCTGGGAGGAGACTATGGGGGGGGCTGCAGCCACCCCAAAATTCACCATAGCCCCTCCCTGCCAACCCCTCGTCCCAGCGCTGCTGCCGCTGCCTGCCCCTAGCACAATGCAGCCCAGCCCTCACTGGGAAGAGCCCGGCGCTGGCCCCAGCCTGCAGGTGCCCCTCCCTGCCCCGCACACACCTGGGGGCATACACCCGCTTCCCCCCCGTGCCCTCCCGGGGTGCACAGAGTAGCAGAACCCCACCCCCCTCTGCACCCCTGGACGAGTTGCATCTCCATCCTGCGTCCCACCTTGACTGGGCAGCGCCAGCCCCTGCCCCACTCCCTCACTGCAGGCGCCTCAAACTGTCTCCTGCACACCCCTTCCCTCCCCCTTCCCCTTCCCCTTCCCCTTCCACCACAGCAGATCTACCAGCTGCACGCAGCTCTTCAAGCTGTCGGGCTGCGTATCAGAAATCGGATCCGTATCAGCTGATATGCCTCCTTAAAAATCGGCTATTGGTATCAGCCCCCAAAATCTCTTTTGGTGTGCCCCCACTAAAATATTTAAAAAACAAACAAACAAAAAACCTGTCAGCTGGAAAAAATGAATATTTTGTGATTAAACATCACGTAATCAAACCTCTCGGTGTAAAGGTCTTTTTTTAGTAATGCATTTTATATAGTATTACTTTTGAGAAGTATTGGAGGCACTTTTATATAAACTGGATTAATATTAAGTAATTAAAGCAGTAGAAGATCAAAAAATAGTCACTGGTTAGTAATTTTGAAAATGTAGCAGCAGCTTATTAATCCTCAGTAATATGAAAGTTTTGTTTATTCCAAGATTTAAATGTTACAATTTTTACTTCTATTTTAATTTAATATATAAATAGCATACAGTTTACCAATAGGTAATGAATGTTTTGATATAAACAAATAGGATATTAAACTCAACTGGAAGAGTGTGAGGTGTAAGAATTTGAAAAATTCATTTATATAACATGTAGCTTTATCTGACTTACTGAAATTGCCATTCTAAGAAAAAAAAAGTCACAATACCATCCTTGTGTTTGAATTCCTGGATTTAAATTTGGATGTAAACATTTAATATGGGTAAGTTACTCTGCTTCTATTTATTGTTTTGTTTCTGGTTTGCTTTTTGCAATGTACACAGGATATAAAATAAAATAGTAAGACGGATCATGCAGATGACACTAAGATGTGGGGAGAAGTGGGCGCGCTAGAAGGGAGGAATAGGCTGCAATCGGAGCTAGACAGGTTACAGGGGTGGGCGGATGAGAACAGGATGGGTTTCAACACTGACACGTGCAAGGTGCTGCACCTGGGGAGGAAGAACCAGCAGCACACCTACAGACAGGGGAACTCCCTTCTCGCCAGTGCAGAGGCAGAAAAGGATCTAGGAGTCATTATTGAGGCCAATATGAACATGGCCCGACAGTGTGGGGACGCGGTCAGGAAGGCCAACCGCACCTTGTCATGCATCCACAGATGCATCTCGAGCAGGTCCAAGGAGGTGATCCTCCCCCTCTATGCGGCACTGGTCAGGCCGCAGGTGGAGTACTGCATCCAGTGCTGGGCGCCGCACTTCAGGAGGGATGTGGACAGCATGGAGAGGGGCCAGAGGAGTGCCACGCGCATGCTCAGGGGGCAGCAGGGCAGTCCCTACGAGGAGAGGCGACGGGACCGGAACCTGTTCAGCCTCCACAAGAGAAGGCTGAGAGGGGATCTAGTGGCAGTTTACAAACTAGTCGGGAAGGGGGGGGGAACTAACAGGCATTGGGAGAGTCCCTGTTCCCCTGAGCACTACTAGGAGTGACAAGAAGTAACGGTCTCAAGCTAGCAGAGGGTAGATTCAGACTAGATATCAGGAGGTGCTACTTCACTGTCAGGGCGGCTAGGATCTGGAACCAACTTCTAAGAGAAGCGGTGCTGGCTTCTACCCTGGGGATCTTTAAGGGGAGGCTGGATGAGCACCTGGCCGGGGTCGTTTGACCCCAGTACTCTTTCCTACCACAGCAGGGGGTCGGACTTGATGATCTGTTGAGGTCCCTTCTGACCCTACCAGCTGTGAAACAATTAATTAAATTTCCTGATGGAACCAAAGCTGTTTTGGAAATTAAACTGTTCTGGAAGAAGTTTGGAGACTATTGAGGGAATTAAAAGGATGCCAACTGTCAGATAACCCCTGGAATTCTTACTGAATCTTCCTGAGACGTCTGCAGCATACAGGTGTCATAGGGAATTGATCACTCATCATTTATTGGCCTCAAGAATTACATTGCAAAAATCTGAAAGAGAAGTGACACCCTTAGAATCACTGACTGGTTTCAAGAAGTTTGGGACATTTTAGTAATGGAAAAGTCATCCTGTTAAGTCAGTCCTGGCACAACTGATCCACTTTGTTGGCCAAAACACCCATCACCTGTTGTTCCACCCATTGATGCTTCAGAATAATGGGCAACATGCTCTACTGGGACTTAAGGGGCCTGGTCCTACAAACCCCAGAATTTCCATGGAGGATTGGGTCCTCAAGCCCTGGGAGCTCCTGCCTGGCTTTTCCCACTTACCAAGACATGCCATGGAGACCAAGTGCTTAACCCAGAATGTGGCATATCCAGATTCAGTTCCCTCCTCTGGCTGCAGGAGCCTGAACCCACTTCTCCTAGCAGAGTGTCATTATTGTATACTTTGTTCTGAGGTGTTCTTTTGGCAGTGTTGTTCTACTTGTACAATTGAACCGAGATAACGTGTAGAGTTACGTTCCTTAGTGACTGGGAAGATGAGGGTGTCCAGCTGTATTTACTCAAGTATAACATGAGGTGTGCCCCCTCCCCCAATCAGTGTGGGCAGGGGGGAAGCTCCTCTTCTTACATTCTCATACAAAGAAACTTCATTAAATACGTTGCCTGTTGTGCTATCATAAGCAGCGTGTACTCAGTAATGGAACCCAACTGTGAAGTTGATTAAATACAGCCAACCCTGAACATGACTTTGAAGTGCGTGGCCCATATTGGACAACCAAAGCCAGAGAGAAGTCCCCCATCACCATAAATTGTATAGTTGAGATCTTCCCATTGGTAGGCATTTGTAGACTCTCTCAGCGGTCAGCCTGCTCACAGTGCAAGGGACAGGCCTTGGCCCTCTAACTACACCAAGTCATTCAAAGCCAAGAAGGGGCTCTCCCGTGCCAGGTAAATAAAAACACCTTTTTTTATTTGCAAAAATATATGTTCATATATTTATATTTTGGCAGAAGCCCTGCAATATAGATACATTTTTTACATATATATAGCAAAATATATGCAAAAAATGTATGTGTATTACAGGGCTTCTGCCAAAACTGTCCTGTGGCCACTGTGGCTCACCTGATAGTCTAAAACAGATCATTGCCATTGCATCGTATGCTTTCCCATCACAATAGCTGCACCACACACCTATGCTCTTCCATGTCTGTGTGCTTGCATGACCATCACCAACACTCATGCCTGTCACAAGGAGACCTTTCCTATACCCTAAGATCACCCCATACCCCTGACTCTTTCTTTCCTAGTTCTTTTAGTCATCACTGTAAAAAAAAAAAAAAACCACTTATTTTTTTTAATTAAATTTCATGTCTCAGGCCAAATTAGCCAAATCTATTACAAATTCCATTGACTCAGCTGAGCTCAGTTGTTCAGATCCTATGTGGAGCTACCACCAGCAAGCATCCTCCCTGCCAGACTCTTCAGCCTGGGACTTCAGATACTCCCTAATCAATGGCAGGCATCCTCCGTGTAAGCCCAACCCCAGAGGACTTAGGGTTTGGATGCCCCCGAGTCTTGCTTGCCCTTAGCCAACAACCCAAAGGTGTCTGTCTGTAGTGCATTGGGCAGGTCTGCACTTTCTGCTATACAATACCATTCAGGGTGATCTGACCTCTGCAGGGAAAGCCACCTGCTAGAACATGGTATCTCTCCTACCAAGTAAGTAAAATCAACTGGGCTGGGTAGTGCAGCCAATTTGAATAAGACGTGGTGGTGCCATTGTACTCAGTCCCCTTTGGTGCCAACTCTTTTTCTGTATATAGAATCTAGTTATTAGGGGGTCATCTTATATTGAGGGTTGTCTTACATTTGAGTAAATATGGTATCATTACTTTTTTTTACATTTTGAAATATGGTTTTAAAGGTGTTCCCTTTGGCAGAATCTTAAAAGAACATTTCAAAGCTCAAATGTTAAAGCATGCCAGGATTTTGAGCACATCTCATTAATAATGG